TACAGCAAATTGAGTCAACACGTTTCCTGCGAAAAGTTATTAGGAAACATTTCCAGGAAAAAGTTAAACATAGATATCTAAGAGAATCATTTTACTTTTTGTTGGAAAAAAAGAGGGAAAATGTTGGGTTGAGACAAAAAACAATTTTGTATATTCTGGGAAGAATCTCAAAGTAGATAGTTCTGTATCTCGTGTAGATAGCTCAGCAGCGTAGGAAGGGAACACAGGGAGATAAACTAGCCAACTCTTTCATATCAATTATTCTACAACTTTCTGGAAAGGCAGGAAAAACGGGGTTCCATGTAATTTATATTTCTAAAGTTATCTGTGCTTGCCTGAGCCTCAGTATCTAGCTATTCCTCCAGATCTTAATCCTTTTCAAAGCAATTTTGATCCTGGCTTCACATAAAGAAATAGGGAGAACTATAAAATGCCCCTGAAGCACATTTCAGGAAAGACTAGTCTTGACAAGGCAAACTACAAAGTGAAATAAAAAAATTTTCACCATAATATGCTTTATGTTCTTCAGTGAACTAATTTTCTCTCAGGATACTGGGTTAACAAACAGCCAAACTCAATACTTGCGTTGGAAGCTGAGCTTTATTGCCAGCTGCAATCCTAGTTAAAGATGGAGGTATGATACTATATAGGGCTGTTCCACAATCCAGAAGAGTTCACTTTTCGTTATCACATACGGTGTACTTTCTAAAGTCTAGCAGTTTTCTTTCATCATAAATAGAACAGTAAGTTCTCAGTTTCCATTCTGGTTGCTTTTTGTTTGTTTTTGGAGATGGTCTCACTCTGTCACCCAGGCTGCAGTGCAGTGGCACAATCTCGGTTCACTGCAACCTCTGCCTCCTGGGTTCAAAGCGATTCTCCTTCCTCAGCCTCCTGAGGAGCTGGGATTACAGGCACCCGCCACCATGCCCAGCTAATTTTTGTATTTTTAGTAGGACAGGGTTTCACCATGTTGGCCAAGCTAGTCTTGAACTCCTGACCTCAGGTGATCCACCTGCCTCAGCCTCCCAAAATGAGATTACAAGCATGCACCACCACGCCTGGCCTTCACTCAGTTTTAAAGTATGATGCATTGTAGAAAATGAAATTTTTAATTGTTTGGTTAAGTACTGTTCTAAAAAGGATTTCATTTAAATTTCAGTTGGTAATGACTTAAAAGTCAAACTGGGGTAAAAGAGTATATAATAGTATTAAGTTCTGTACTAACTGTATATCTTTCAGAAAGCATTTAATCAAAGGAAGCTGGGATCAGAAGCAAATACAGTGCCAGCAGTAGGTCCTTCTAAAACAGAAGTTCCCAACAAAGTATACATATCAGAATCACCTGCAGGATTTGATTATATAACATATCAGAAACACCTGCAGGTTTTTATAATCTACCCACATTCCTCAACTCTTGAAAAACAGTTTCTTACATGATAAGTCTGAGGTGGGCCAGAATTTTTCACTTTTATCAAGTATCCATGGTGATTCTGATGCAGATAGTTCCAGGACTCACAAACACTGGCCAGAGTGGCACAGACAGAGATTAAGAGGAGGGACTCTGGAGGTAGACTGCCTGGGTTGGAATTCTGCTTCCACCACCTACTTTCTAGCTGTAGAATCTACAGTAAGTTCCATAATCTCTCTGTGTCCTTGTCTTCTCATTAGTAAAACAGGGATAGTAACAATACCTATTACATCAATTGTTTATAAAGATTAGAAAAGTTAGTATTCCAACACTTATCAGTGTTTGATTAAAAAAAAAAAAAAGGACCAAAAAGTTTGAGGAGAGCGAAGTCCTTGAGGAAATGCAACAGGTAAATGCAACAGATACATGAAATTTAGATTTGTTGTCTAAGTTTATTCCTTCAACCACATAGTTGAGAGCCATTGTTCCACTACTGAGTAAAATAAAGGATGACATGCACTCATGACCAATCCAAACTCTTTAGCCTAGAAATGAAATCTCTTTGTAATTCGGTCCCTACTGATTTGGTCTTTCTCCATCATGATCTCACTAGTGTTTATTCTTTTTATAAACACTAGCACTAACAGCCACAGATATTCTCTACCAATTCAACCAGGAAAAGAAGACACCCCTATATTTTATTTCCTTTAATATAAAAGATGACAGGGGAAAAATAATTGAAACACAAGTATTCAAAACCTCCACTCTATCCCTATACCTTTTGTAAAGAGCTAGGTTTTTGTTTTTAAGTGCTGATTAATTGTGTGTGTGCTAGGGGCAAGGAAGTGGTGGAGAGCAGAGTTGGAAGAAAGTAAATTGGTTTAAACTTTAAAAAGTGTGAGTTACCAGCAGAAAAAAAAAAAAGGTCTGGAAGTTGGAAGGATGGAAAGAGATGGATAAAGAGGGGCAGCCTCAGCTGTGACCTTTGTATAGGCATATACCTTTACCTGCCCCCACTTCAGATCTTCATTCAAATGTCAGCTTCTCAGTGAGATCTTTCCTGGCCACCTTAGTTAAATTGTACACACACATCCCACCAAACACACTCACCTCCTTTCCTTTCTCTGCTTTACTTTTCTCTCCAACCCCTATTATGTATTTTCACCCTTTACAAATGAGCTCCGTAACAGCAGACATTTCACCTGTTTTATTCATTGCTGAATCCCCAGGATCTACTACAACCTTTCATACAGTAGGTATCCACAAATAATTTATAATGTAAATTAGCTATAGGAGGACTATTACAATAGTTTTTTGACTAGTTTTTTCCCTAAGGAAAAACTAAGACCCGTTCAGGTCAAACGATTTTCACAATAATAATAAGGTCAAGCTTTTTGCAAGTTAGTCCTGGGACATTATTTGCCTTTTTGCACTTTGTTGAAATTTAGTCTGTTGGTGAAAAAGTAAGGCAAAACTGCTAGGCCTTAGCATAGATCTATGTAGTGGCACCAAACTAGACTAGTAGTCACTGTATTTTTCACTGCCACATACAGAAATGAATCAACCAACCAACAAATAAATGAATAAAATATTTTAAAGCCAATTGCAATTTAGAATATCCTTGTTGAAGCAGTAAAATTATTCACATTCTCTGTGATGAAATGACAAGGACACAGAAAACTGTTCTGCTGCCTACTGAAATAATGGCTATCTCAAGGAAAAGCACTTGGGTGAATGATTTGCAAGCTGAACAATCCACTTTTTTTCAATACCACTTTTACTTGAAGTAATGGCAAATTATTGTTATTCAGGCATGGGTAACCCATCAAGCACTTTTTAAAAATGAGTTAAGCCTGATATTTCAAAGAAAAAACTTTACAGTATTTGCAAATGATAAAATTTAGGATTTCGAGTAAAAATCAGAATTTTGGAAACTATGTATCTACCACCGTTGGGTATGATCTTTCTTGATATGATTAGTGGTGATATTAAGGAATGTGATTTTTTGACATTGTATAATGAAATAGGTTCATATTTGGAAGATCTGCCTAACTCTTAGTGAACAAATATCTTCCAAATGAGCAGTGAATGATATTTCAAAATCATGCATGGGTACAAGTTCCATTCAAACTGCAAGACAGATCAATGGATTTTTTAATGTTATAGAGGATAAAAGTATCATTGATATGGCTTTATATTGTATAGTACAACTAATCTTTTAAGAAATTATCACTTACTGAATTTTTATGTAGTATCAAAAGATAATAACTCACAAGTATTTGAGAAGGTTGTTAAAATACTCCTTCCTTTTACAACTACTTATCCACATGAGTGTAGACTTTCTTCACATACATCAACTAAAACAATATATTGCAACAGACTGAATACAAAAACATATATAAGAATCCCATTATCTTCCATTAAATCACATATTAAAAACCTGCAAAACTGTAAAACAATGCTACTCTTCTCACTAATTTTTGGTTTTTTGCTTTGGGGGATATAATTATTATTATTATTTTTTTTTTTTTGAGTGAGCAAGTGGTGCTTTATTAAGAGACAGTACAGTGCTCAGGAGACCTGAAGTGCTGAAGTGGGTAGCTCCTTTCTGCAGGCAGATTGTCTGGACATCTACCCAAGTCTGCCTGAGTCTGGGGTTTTTATGGGCTTCAGTGGGGAGGAAGTGCATGCTGATCGGTCCATGGGTGGCCATGGGCAGACCTGGAAAAAGTACCATAAGTTCTGACTCTGGTCTGAGAACTGGCAGCCTGGCTCCTAGGCTTCAGGCTATCCCTGGCTTGAAGGTGGGGCTTTACCAGGGTCCTGCCCCTTTCCACCCAGATGGCTGTCCACCTCCTACCACCATCAACCTACCATCCATGGCACTCATAGCACCCAGGCTGTTCATGCAGAGGGGTGCCTGCAGGCTCACACCAAACTGCCCTCAGCACCCCCTCACTCCTCCCATGCTCATTGGCACTGAAAGTCTGGAGGGGACTGAAGCAGCAGGGAGCTGGCATATCAGTGCTGCCCTAAGCACACACACACACATTTATTTTCCATTAAAAATGTTATTTAAAATTTTAATGGTTTATTATTTTCAAATAAAACATTAAATATTTAAACATTTCTTTTAATTTCTAATAATAGCTAATAATATTGAGCACATTTTTATGTGCTATTGGCCATTTGTATATCTTCCTTTGGAGCAATATCTATTCTAGGGTTAAAAAACAAACTGGTTGGGTACTATGATCATTATTGGATGATAGGATCATTTTTACCCCAAACCTCAGCATCACACAATATGCCAAATGTAACAAACCTGCTGCACATGTACCCCTGAATCTAAAATAAAAGTTGAAATTATGAAAAAAGGACTAACTAGCTTTAAAAATTACTTCCCATAAATACATACAAATATTTCATATGTATGACAGATAGAAATATCTGTTTTATTACAATAAGGACAATATTTGTTACTTAATCGGACAAAAGAATGTGTAAGTGGGTAACATAGTGGCTATCTACTATAATTTTATATCAAACATAATGATGTTACTAAGATTATACACAAAAAATATTCTCAAACATACATATATTCTCATATATATGTACTATCCTATATTTGAAAATACTTTTTTAATCAAAGTTTTCCTTTTTCAGTTTCACACAGCATTGCTTAATTTTCTTTCAAATGTAAAATTTTTAAATGCTTTTGTGTAACTGAAGATTAGTTTTGCACAAAACTTACAGAATGAACATGTCTCAGCTAATGCATAAATGTATGTCACTATGTGTACGTATGCAAAGCAAATAATTAGCACATTAAGGAGATACTTTTAATAAACTACTTTAATCAAGGTATTCTGACTTCATTTGTTGTCAATACTTTTAATCTTCTAAAAGTATAAGCAGAAATTATATTCATAAGTGACATTTTATTCTTCCTACCACACTGGTCTTTAGACTTCTAGTAATATAACATAATGATGTGGCATTTAAATGCAAAAGATTACATTTGACTTACTGGCTTCTTATTGAAAATGTTAACCCCCGGCTCAACAGGCTCATAAAAATGGCTTCCTAAGAGGTCTCTTTTCATGTCATCTGTTAATTATTTACAAGCAAAAGTTAAATACTATTCCTCATGTTGTCCATAAATTCTTTAAGTGAAATGACATAAAGGAAACCAGTTTTACCATAGCCTAACTGATATAAACAAGAGTTATGTTCCTACAGCATATTTCTGGCTACAAAAACATCACCAAACTTCTAAATAAAGACCCCAAGCACTTCTAATATTAAATATTGATATAAATGTGAACTATACATGCATTTAATAAAGACTAATAAAAACAAGTAAAATAATTTATGCAATTTTTGGTGAATCAGTAAGTGATGGCAGTCATAGTGATGGTGGGCTAAGTAAATAAATGTTTGTGAAGCAAAGGTTATAAGGATGTGGGAAGAAACTGGAGAAAACCCATGCAGATGCATGGGGAAAACATGAAAACTCCACACAGATAGTGGCCCCAGCTGGGAACTCATTTTTTTTCCCATCAATGTAATACTGAAATGAAGCTAAACACAATGACTTTTTTTGAGGGTCTTCTGTGATCTGAGAAGTTTCTTCTACTCTGGATGGGTGCCTAATAGAAGGATTGAAGTAAGCTGTGGAATATATAGGTCATAGGTTCAATAATTCCTTGCTTATCCCACAACATAAAATGTAAAAAAACAAAACAAAAAAAAAGAGCAGAGAAAAATTTCCACCAATATGCAAGACCCAGAGGAATAAGGCAGTGGAGTTTTGAGCTGACTACACTTACTCTAAATAAACTGTTTAAAATGTATGAAATAACTTTTACCTGGAATGTTTTGTATTTTATATTTACTACCAAATAAGACTTAATAAACTTAAGGGAAATTCTTTTTAAGCATTTATCAAATGATCTAACTTCTATGTATTTAAGAAACTAACTTTTTAAGTACAGAAATCTGGAAGAGTAAATTAAACATTATGTTCGTGACCACAGAGAATTAGTTTTGAAAAGCAGTTTTCAGGATTTTTCATTCTGATACACTAGATTTATTTCTCCCTAACCCTTGGTTAGAAAAGTAACAGAGAATTACTGAAGCTGTTAATGGGGTGAGAAAGTTGATTTCAAATGGTCTTGTATAGTGTAAGGATTCAGTACAGATGTTTGGAATAACTTGCAGCTGTTGCAGGGTGAATAGGCTTAATGACATCACTGGGAATACTGAAGGAGAACTGCCTGGAGTACTTTAAAATATTTATATTATTGTGATATGAAAAAAAATGCTTAATTAGAAGCCATAAAACAGTGTAGAAACTTCATTTGCCTTGGTTTAATTCTGAATCAGATTTTCAGATGTCTCAACATTCTTACATATTCCTGGGTACACTTACCTACATATATCCTCTGTTGTAACAAAGTGCCTCCTCTAATAAGAAAGGGGAGAAACGATTTTCTTTAGTTTGATCCAGGTTTGGTTTGGCTCATACTTTAGAATTTTACCATATGCAAAACACCATAATGGATAAAACGGTCAATAAAAAACCCTTCATTATTCTCAAGAAACTTATTTAGTGAGGAGGATATACATAAAAATACAGAATACAGGCCAGGCATGGTAGCTCCTCTGTAATCCCAACACTTTGGGAGGCCAAGGTGGGAGGATCGCCTGAGGTCAAGACGTCAAGACCAGCCTGGCCAATGTGGTGAAACCCCGTCTCTACTAAAAATATGAAAATCAGCTGGGCATGATGGCACAAACTTGTAATCTCAGCTAATTGGGTGGCTGAGGCAGGAGAATCTCTTGAAACTGGAAGGTGGAGGCTGCAGTAAGCCAAGATTGCACCACTACACTCCAGCCTGGGTGACAGAGTGAGACTCCATCTCAAAAAAAAAGCACAAAAAACAGAATACAATGAGTACTACAAAACCATATTATGGGAATTCAATGAAATCATGGGGATTTAATTGAGTGTTCAAATGTTGCTCCTTGAGGAAAAGCCTAACTGCCTATAGGTTCTCTCAAGGCACAAGAGATACGTTATTCTTTCATCCAGATAAAAACACTGAGTAAATGTCTCAATATTCATAAGATGTCAGATCTACCCTCTATTTGGTTTATAAAGCATATGGAGTACCCCTGACTTGGCAATACAGAATATTAGTATTAGTCTCTCAGCAAAAGCCTGGATATGATATTTAGAAGGCATGCGTAAGGGGTATTCTAGCCACCCATTCCTGTAAGCATTCTAAGTTCCAAGACCAAGTTGCACTGTGAGAAGGTTTGGCTCGCAATGTTTAGCCTCTCTCTGAATGGCTTTTACTGAATTATACATTATGAACCAGATGACAAATCAATAAAAAGTTTACTAGGAGTCAAAAAAATCTATATCTAATGGAAACCCACATCTCCAAAATATACCACAGTGGCAGATTTTGGCTCAACTCCAAGGATCATCTTAGTCACCTGAGAAATCTTAGTTCCAACTCCCAGATTCAAGCAATTCTCCCACCTCAGCCTCCCGAGTAGCTGGGACTACAGGCACACATTACCACGCCCAGCTAACTTTTGTAATTTTTGGTAGAGACAGGGTTTCACCACACTGGCCAGGCTGGTCTTGAACTCCTGACCTCAAGAGATCTGCCTACCTTGGCCTGAAATTAAAAAGCACTTAAATTGACCACATGGTTATCTATTAATGGTGAGACCATTTGGTAATTCTATATAAAGACTATAAAATAAATGTTGCCTCTAATAAACAAAGAAGAATTTTTAAATAACTCAGTAATATTTAGGAACTCCAAACCATAGTTTATGCCTGTAATCCTAGCACTTTGGGAGGCCGAGGCAGGTGGATCATGAGGTCAGGAGATTGAGACCAACCTAACACAGTGAAATCCCATCTCTACTAAAAATACAAAAAATTAGCCAGCCATGGTGGCATGCACCTGTACTCCCAGCTGCTTGGAAGGCTGAGGCAGGAGAATCACTGAAGCCGGGATGCAGAGGTTGCAGTGAGCCAAGATGGCGCCACTGTACTCCAGCCTGGGTGACAGAATGAGACTCCTTCTCAACATTAAACAAAACAAAACAAAACAAAACAAAACAAAAAAACTCTAAGCCCAAATGTTTAAGAAGTCTGAAGTTTGAGAACTTTAAAATTAAGACTTGTCTCCATCATTAACGTGGTTTAAGAAAGACATTTTTCATCGGTTTTAAAAAACAGATCTACAAATTTCAATTTCCAATCAAATTTCAGTTAGTGGCTTTCATGTTTTAGTTTTAGAATTTAAAACTAAAATTACTTAATTCCAAAATAAGTTTTTAAAACCATTTCTTCAAAACACACCCATGCAGTTCATCTGTCACCTTAAAAAGAACAAAGGGGTGGCTTTAAGTCTCTAGTACTAATAATAGGCAAATGATTCATACTGGATACGATTATTTTAACACCAGTTCCTAAGTCTATTATTATAAGTTTTTCTAACCATTTGCAAGAAAGGGGAAAATCACAAAGGGATTAATTTTTGCAGAGTAGGGACTTTATAAAGTATTCCAGAGCCAACTTAATTCGATATAGAGATGGAAAAAGGTAAAAAAATGCATATAGCAGAAATCTTTAACTACAAAGGACATGAGTATTTTCTTAGTAAAAGGAATGTCTGGGATTGGAGGAAATCTATTTCAACCTGGCATAAGGCTTGACAGTTTGAGTACAAGAAACAAGCAAAAGTGATTATATAACATATGGAAGATACATTAAATCTTAGATGATTAACATTAGTTGAAAAATTAAGCAACATTTGTTCTTTCCTTACATTGTCCATTACATATTTGTGTGCAATTAAAGTCTGTCAAATCGTATGAACTGATTTAGGGTTCCTGGCACTTTTCTGAATCAGATAGAATACCTTAAAGGAAAAATAAAAACAACTCTTTACTTGAAGGGAGAGGATGTAAGACATCTGTTAGGCAATACCTTTTGCTGTTGTTACTTTTTAAGCACCGATTTGAAAGACTCGGGCTTTTCAGAAGTTCAACAAAAGAATAATTTCACTTGTTATGATTTTTCAGGGTTTACTTTGAAAATAAAGTTTCTGCTAATCCAGTGCATGGTTTTTCTAATCTACATACGCTAGAATAGACTCACAGCACAGTAATTTACGTTACCTGAAAACGAAATCTGGAAATGCTGAACTTTAAAAATACCAACCATATAGTTCACTGTTGAGAAGACAATGGCTTCCCCTCGAGGTAGGAAAACGCAAAGCCACATTTTAGAGCCTTTAAAGAATGACCTATATAACATGAGAGATAAATGCTAATGAGGGACTATAACAAATATCTTAAGAGACAAAAAGAAACAAAAATGAAAATCAACTGGGGGAAAAGTATTATGGGATTCAAAGCTTGATGGATTTAGCAGAGACTTAAAGAGACAGATGGATACACAGAAGAAATTCTAAATTGTGTAAAAGGAAATGAAGATGCTGAGATGGTAGAAAGTTACAGAAGGAAGTCATTTTCCATCGATTCCTTTTCATTCTAAGGGAAGTGGGTATCCATTGTTTAGAAGAATTAAAATCTATTACTCTTTGCTCATTTTTCTTGCATATCAGAGTTGAAAAGTATCAAGTGTATCAGTCCATCTGAGGTAGGAAATTATCATCTGAATTGTCTACATCCGCAAATTAAAGTTCAGATAAGCACACTTAGGCCATCATAAAATTTTATAACCAGTTTTATTTCAATCTGCTAAACTGGAGGCATACACTGACCTAAACATATCCCTTTAAACTCCCTTCCTTGCAAAAAAGAAAAATGATGGTGTAAAAGGAGCATTCTGAAGTTTGAACAAAGTTTAACAGACAGCAGAGCTTTAGGAAAAGCTTCATTTAAATTTCTTTTAAGCTTTAGTTTTTTAAGTAAACCCTGAAACCATTAAATGTCACCAACACCATAATAAAGAAACCTTGGCCAACATTCATCTACAAAGCTGCTTTTAAAAATGGCAGTCCTTTCTCCTTGATGGTTTGTCCCCATTCTCCCCACAAATGGAAAATCAAATGAAAATTACACCAAAAGATCATTCAGTATGAGGGTAAGCTGTATGAAATTCTAAGTAATAACGCACATTTCCAGTCATTTCACCACCTGTACAGTCATTAATAATCAGCTTTCTAGCTGCCTAAACAGCTCAGCCAACTCCTGAAGGCAAGTGGGGTAAAGAAAGGCTATCAGTATAGGTTATCAGTGTTGGTGCTCCGAGGGGTCTTGATCTTCTGGAAGTTTTTAAGGATTACATCATGCAAGGTGGCATACTCGTTCCGTAGGTGCAGCAGGATCTGGCGCACACTCAGATACTCGTTTTCATCCACCTCTGCTACAGTGCGGCGATAATCTTCCACTTGCGGGTACTTCACTATCTTGGATACCAACTTGGCCCGGGTGTTGTAGTAGGTGGAGAAGCCGCGTAGATAGGAGGTCGCTGTGCTCTCCACGGTCCACAGCTGGTCCACAGTGTCTTCCTGGATAGACACCCCGAAGTTGTTGCCGTCCTCCACCTTTGGGATGAGCAGCTGCACCCACATCCGCACTGTGTTGCATTTCTCTCTCAGCAGCTCGATCTCAGGTTTTACCCGCTCAATCAGCTCCACCAGATGCTGGTTGCTCCGCAGAAGCTGTCCCTCGCTGCCAGGCAGTGCCGGGACCTTGATGGAGAACTGGGTCTGCAGAGGCGGCAGATCCCGGTTGGGCCCATCCCCCACGGTGACTGGGGTGTCCAGGGGCTCTGGGGTTGGCACTGAATGGATTCTGGGCAGGTCTTGCAGCCGGAGCTCCTGAACTTGGCTATCCAACTCTGAGAGCTTCTGCGGAAAGAAGGTGGACACGAGATCCTCGGCTTCCTGGGCGATACGGGCCCGAAACAAATCTACTTTTCCCTGCATGTCCGGCTCTAGCTTCAGCGGAAAAGCCATGGCTTCTAGAGGCGCCGAGCTTTGGGGTGGACACGACATGGGTTTTTCTCTCCCTTGGCCGGCTCTGCTTGGGCCTCGCCGCCGCCACAACTCCCAACAGACCACTCCGGAAATTATGTCATAGGGTCCTAGAAGCCCGCGAGGCTGGAGAGGAAGTGGTGCAGCAGAAGCCGCGCCCCCGCCCAAGTCCTCCGGACACCTCCGGCAGGCCGGCGTGCGTCCCCGGCCCTGGCAAAGCGCTGTGTGCTGAGGTTCACGGCCCAGTCCGCTAGAGCATCAAGGACCACGTGTTAGGGGAGACCAGCAGGATCTAGTTCCCGAAGCCGCCATTCTACCTACCTACCGGCCTGGCTGGCGGGGTGCCTCACTATGAAAGGCAGTTCCAAAGAATGTCGTTTGAGATAAGCATTGTGAAGACGTGTTAATGACAAGGCGGCACACTTCATGGGAGCTCAACAAATCGACAATCCCTGGGTCAAAAATATACAATCCCTTGTGAAAAGAACCTCACCAAATGGGCTCTCCAGAGTAAGGTTCACTTCTGGGGAGCCATAAGTCAGACCTTTACAGGTAACATGAGCCTAATCTTTGCTTTCTCCGTAGAAAATCAGCAGTGGTTCATTTCACTGTGGTATTTAAATAATGTTAGCAAACTTCCGAGATCGTCTATGGCTTACTTCAAACGACTTTTAATTTACATTACAAATGTTAAGTTACATGACTCTTCCTAAACTCAGCTTTTTTGGGACGATGAACAGAATTTGAATCTGGACTCTAGATTAAAGCCAAATTTCCTGACTTTGATAACTACATTGTGGTTACAGAGATGAATACCCTTGTTTTTAGGAAGTACATTATTAAGGAATAAAGTGATATAATGTAGTATTTAACCTATTTTCAGATGGTTCACAAAAACAAATTGTATGTGTGTAAAGAAAAAGAATGAGGGAAAATGTTAAAAACTGATGAATTTGCAATAAAAGGTATATGTAAGTTCAGTATTCTTGTGACTTTTCTGTAAGTTTGAAATTATTTCAAAATGAAAAGTAGAAATTATCTTTTCCCTAAAGGCTTTCAGAATTACAAAGACAAATTCTGTGCTCTTCTAAAATTTCATTCTTCTTATTTATATTCATCTTCCTTCCCCTGAAATATTTTCCTTTTGTTTTTTTAACACCACAAAGTCCCTGCTTTTGACTTTTATAGTAAAATTACTGATGTTTAAGTCAAAAAGATTCTCAAGATGCTCTAGTACAGTTAGTTTCATGTGTAACTGTCACCTCAGACTGTAAACTCCAGGTCAGGGGCCAAGTCTTGATCCGTTTCCATTGTATCTGGCACAATGCCTGGCATGGAGCAGATGCTGAATACAAGTCTGATTAAATGATCTTCAATTAGTAAGATTTTAGGTAACCATAACTTCCCATGATTTAGAACTCAGAAGAAAGTGTCAACAAGACAAACATATTATAGCTTGGGTTCCCCAGCAAGCTGACTCTAAGAGTGTGTTTACAGGAGGTTTATCAGAGATTGTTCTTGTGATAAACACCTGTACTTCAGTACAATGTCAAGGCCTCAGTGGACCCCACAGGAAACTGGGAAATGTCCTTTAGGGTTGTCTTGAGTTGAGACAAGGCAATTCCTGAAGAAGGCTTTCTGGCAGCAAGACTTCCAGCTGTTGGGAAATAACCCTTTAGTCCTGAAGGGGAACTTGGGGAATGCATTATATAGCTTTAACTATATACATGTGCCACATTAGGATACCTATACTAACAAAGCAGCAATTTGTGTTCAAGACAAGTATGTTCAGCCCCAATTACGAGTTGAAAACTAAAGATGGTTTCTGTGTTCAGATTGCTTCAAGGCTTGTAGGAATGTGATAAAGGATGTGGTGGAGAGAATTATATATGGCTGTACATGAAGGAGGGGATCAGGGTGTATATGTATGTGGTTGTATATACAGTAGAGGTACTGGTAAGCTGCATCTCAAGGTATAAGGGAAAGTGTCAGGAAATGAGACAGGAGAAGTAAGGAACAGCTCATAGAAGCTGGCCCCTGTATGCCATGCTTAAGGAACTTGGATTTAATAGACGCCAACCAAAGAATTTAGGCAGGGAAAAATACATGATGGATGATATGAAGGGCGGAGGTGGCAGACGTGGATTTGAAGAAGAGACTAAAGGAAGAGAGACTGCTAGACTGCTGCCATAATCCAAACGAGAAAGTATGCCTCATTTAAAGCAGTGGTGATGAAACTGAAGAGGCCGATCGAGAGAGCTTTATAAAGTAAAATTAACAGTTCTTGGTGATAGTTTTGGATGTAGAGAAATGAGAAAAGGTAGAATTAACCACTATGTAACATTTTTTTTACTTGGGGAAAGAATTTTTATTTATAGTTACATTAAACCTCCCCCAAGAGATGAATTAGATATACATACGTTTTTACACACTCATATTTACTACATTCAAGCTAGGAGAATTTAGATAAGGCTATCAAACAGAAAAGGAAAATCAAATCTTGACCGCAATTTTCCCAAATCCTGATCTTCTTCATAACTTTGGCTATAAAAGATTACTATAGAATTATTGTGGAAATTCCCTTTTATGCCCAAAATATCCTCAATGGTATATATGGTTTAACAAATGGTTACTCTATTTTCAAAAAGTATTTCTAGTTGCTCTTTTAAAAAAGCAGGGAAGTTTCTTCCAATGATTAATGCAGCCATTTATATGGAATTATTTTCTTTAGTTGTCTGATGATAGAATATAAAAATCCTTTAGGGGATTCAGCTGTTCTTATTTCTGGTATGATGTAAGAGTTTTATTTATTCACATTTCCTGTTCTTGTTAATGCGGGTAATGGTTGATAGGAAAATAACAGCTCCTAATTTTTCTTCCCTCATAGACCCTCAGCAATCAGCAGTTGTTTTTTAAAAAATTATTTAATGCACTTGCATGCCTTGATTTGATCCATGAAATTAATACTGAATGCTAACAGGTGGTGGAATGTCAGGGACAGCTGTGTAGAGTATGGTTTTGTTCAGGTCAGTTTCTCCTTTTTCCACAACCCAGCAGGATTCATCATGTACTGGTGCCAATAACTGACACACCACTCTTCTTTTAGGATTACTTACAGATTTATGGCTTGATTTGTCCTTTTATATGTCCTCCAACTCTGAAACCCTGTGAAGAAGCGATTCTGTGGTCCTATGTGTGAATTCCATTTATAGAACTATTCTAGGCAACATGTTATATCACAACTATTAGACATAAAGGTAGCCTCGAGATATAGATTGGGATTTAATCCTCCAAATATATATTTATTTTTCACTGATTTCTCTGTCTATAAAAGGAGAAATATAATCAGTGGGACTAAATCTAAACTCTGATGGGTGGTAATAATTATCCCCTTTACAAAGTTCTTTATAAAGTTCTTCATCTCCAGGTTGCAGTGGATCTTAAGTTATCTAGACCAATGACCTTATTTACCACTTATGAACACCCTGTAGTGGGCATCATAAAATGCTTCAGGCCGAGCACGGTGGCTCAAGCCTATAATCCCAGCACTTTGGGAGGCCGAGGCAGGCGGATCAGTTGAGGTCAGGAGTTCGAGACCAGCCTGGCCGACAGGGCGAAACCCCATCTCTACTAAGAAAAACACAAAAATTAGGTGGGCGTTATGCGCTTGCCTATAATTCCAGCCACTGGGGAGGCTGAGACAGGATAATCACTTGAACCCAGGAGGTGAAGGTTGTAGTGAGCTGATACTGCACCACTGCACTCCAGCATGGGTGACAGAGTGAGACTCCCTCTCAAAAAAAAAAAATGCTTCATTTTACAGTGTAGTTAAGGTTGACAAATATTACTCCTCTTCCTTCATTCTTTCTCCTAGACTGCTGCAAACTAAGTGTACAGAAACAGTGTAGAGGTACTTGCTGCGCAGCAAGGTCTGTCGACTGTAGTTGCCAATTCAGTGTCTCCAGAACTGTCTCCAAATCTAATTTGTGCATGCATGACTTTAAAGGAAGAGGAAAATGTGGCACGTATACACCATGGAATACGATGCAGCCATAAAAAATGATGAGTTTGTGTCCTTTGTAGGGACATGGATTAACCTGGAAACCATCATTCTCAGCAAACTGACACAAGAACAGAAAATCAAACACCACATGTTCTCACTCACAGGCGGGTGTTGAACAATGACAACACATGGACACAGGGAGGGGAACATCACACATTGATGTCTGTCAGGGGGAACTAGGGGAGGGACAGTGGGGGGTGGGGAGTTGGGGAGGGATAACATGGGGAAAAATGCCAGATATAGGTGATAGGGAGGAAGGCAGCAAACCACATCGCCGTGTATGTACCCATGCAACAATACTGCATGTTCTTCACATGTACCCCTAAACCTAAAATGCAGTAATATATATATATATATGTATATATATATATTTATTTAATATATATAAATAAAAAAATAAATGAGGAGTGGCAATACAGGACTATGGTTAAGTCTATGAAGTTAGCCTAACATGTCGAATCCTGACTTTGCTGCCTATTAGCTGTGTGACACTAGCTAAGTTATGTAACCTCTCTGTGCTTCATTTTGTAGTTGTAAAACTGTATGTACACTTATCCACCACATAATGATATATCTGTCAACAATGCATGTACTACAGTGATCCCATAAGATTATAATGGAACATATATACAGAAATCTGATACATGGCACTTAACATTGGCATTGCGGATCAAGCAGAGGAAATGACTGATATTCAGTAATGTGGCTAAGAAATGTGTTTTTCCATATGAAAAAAAAACATAAATAAAGATATACATCTAGATTTGTGTAAGTGTACTCTAACAACAATGAAGAAATTGCCTAACAATGCACTTCCTAGAGTGTATCCCCATTGTTAAGTGACAAATAACTATATAAGATATTTCTAAAATTTAGTTTTTAGATCTATTTAATAAACATAAGTCAATGCTGGAGAAAATGTCTTCCTTTAAAAGGAAAAATATGCCTCTAAATGCCTTGTGCAAAAAACTACAGAGTTATCTTCCTGAAATGAAAGTCTGATCATACTTCTGTCTTCTCCAGGTTAAGAACCAAACTCCTTAAGCATGGCCCACAAATTCCTTCATGATCTGGATCCTGCCATCTTTTATTTCCCAGAACTGACTACATTGCAACAATTCTCTCACTCACCCTATGTGCTTACATATTCACCACCCTACTCATCCTTCTATAATCAACTCAATTGTTTTCTGAAAAATTTGATACTACCTCCTCCTTTCTTGATGAATGTGGTGCTCTTGGCACAAGTAAAACAGTGTCATATTATCTACCTCATGAAGCTGTTGAAAGGATTAAATGAAGTAACTTCTGTAAAACAGCTAGGACAGTAAATGCTTCAAACATAGTAGTTTTATTTGTAATCTCAGTATTCTGCAGGATGTCTCTTTTATAGTTCCTGTACCAATACGAAATTTTGGATTTACAAGTCACTTTTCTCCACATTAATAAATTCCTTGAGAACAAGGATTTTAGCTTATTTGTCTTTATATAGCCTATGGGGTAGCACAGTGCCTGACAATAGTAAGTGTTCACCGAACATTTACTGAATGAATAAACAATGACGCAAAATAGAATAAAATTTTATCAGAAGCTGACTAGCAAGAGATGGGACTTTGAAGCAACTTATCTGTTTATTTTTTCCTCTGAAAAAAATGTTGAATTATATTACATCATGTAAAAACCCATTTTGGAAATCTAACAGCAGTCTTCTGGGTTGAACTCTTTAGGGCTTTATACAGGAAAGGTAGGACATACATTTCTTTTTTCCTCCCGTCAATAGCATACAGTTCTGCTTTTGACTCTGGTAACATGCCAGAATTCTACTAGTTACAGTATTACTTAGTTCTAAAAAATAGGCCTCACTTAAATAACTGGAGTTCATCTGTAGAACAGTAGTTATGCAGTACTACACGTTTGTGCAAAATGAACATACTGGGGGGTACTAGAGAGGTACACACAAGGAATAAGGGTGATGCTGGCTCTGACTCATGCTCCTACTGTTTATTTATAGCTTCTTATGGGATTTGTTTAATTTGGCAAAAATACAAGATTTCAACTGACTTGAGAGAGGAAGATGTAAGAAAATGCCTAAGTATAAAACTTCTACAGCTGAATAATAATCTGTAGCTCAGTGCTGTATCAACAGGCTCCCCAGGGGATGGTGCAAACTGAAACCACTCCAGAATTACAAATTTCATGAGCTGCAGACTTTACTGTTAAAAGTAAAGTAGTGGCTAACCAAAGATTTTATTCCTCTATAGACACCTCCATTTATAAATGCTAAATTCACTAGTTGAAGTTAGATTTAAAATGACTCTGCCCTCTTACTCTGATTTTGCTTCTCAACACTGAAACCAGTATTTTACTACATATTTATCTGTGTATTTGTTTAGCATCTGACTCTAGAATGTGGGCTCTGGAAGAGAGATTGTTTTGCTCATTGCTGGATTCCCTGTTGTGATAACAGCCAGGAACACAATGGCTATTGAGTAAATATCTTGTGGGACTAATGACAGAAAATTGATTAAATTTCTTAATTCTTTGAGGATAACTGCAGTTGGAAGAGACTTAAAAAAAAAAAAAACTTATAAAAGTAAGGCAATTATTCAGATACTCACACGGAGTATGAATAAATTGTTTTGGGTAAAATCAATTCCTAAAAAGTTTGAGGAAGAAACCTTTTAAGCTCTAAAGATATTTCACATTTAAATTTTCTCTTAAAGAGCAACAAAACACTATTCATTTAAAAAATTTTAATGTTTTTGTATTTATCACCGCTGTTCATCTTCTTAAAGCAGAGGAGTTGTTTCAAAATGAAAGTAAGATTCACATTTTGGTGGATGGGAAATATGCCTTTCTAGTTTTATACTTTAAAATCAGGTCAACTGCACAAAACTGAAGTAAAATAAAAATAAAAACAATTTAATCTGTACTTTTTGGTTCTAGTAAATATTATATGTAAGGAGACACTATATTCTCCCTAATCTAGGCTGAATACAAAATTGGCCAAATAATCCTAGGAGAAGAATGGCTTTCAAATAATCAGCAACCATATATGCATAGAAATTCTGTTGACCATTTCTCTTTGCATGATAGAATATTATACATACATATTTTAATGAAAAATAAGATAAACTTTTAAAAGCTGACCCAAAAGCCTCAGACCTAAGTCGCTTCATCAGCATAGACTTGAACTGTTTTATAATCTGAATTCAAATTATCTTAGTTTCTTTGTTTTTAACAACCTGTGGATCCCTATTATATATAAAAATTCCTATTATATATAAAAAAGGCAACAGGCTTCATCTGGAAATGAGGAACAATGAATAGCAACTTTATACAATTACATTTATTAACAATTACAGAACCTATGCCGATAGAATTTTTTAAATCTATATATGACTATATGTGTGTGTGTATGTGTTTATGCTTCTAAGAAAATAATAAAGACTGCTTTTATGCTACAAGTGAAAATAATGCTTATTATATCTTATGAATGAATCCATGAAATAGTCATGTGGCTCCTATCTAATATCAATATGAAACTGTCAGACTAAAGGCTAGTTTCTTTAAATTATCAGCTGATGTCACTAAATCCATCCAAATGAATGTGATGCAATCAATTTGAGTAAACCCTAAAAACAGTTGAAAACCTGGTGCCTGCTGTTACTCAGTTTTCTGACTGTAGTCTAAGTCTCTAGTTCTATAGACATCATATGAAATGAACATTGAATTAGAACCAATACAGGAAATATTTAAAAGAACTCAAGAGTCACTTTTGCTAAAGATTATTAGAAGAGATTATAGAGACTATGGAGGGAGATTCTAGCTATCTTTCTGTTTGGAAGAGCTCTTCAAGTTTGATTCTCTTTCCTCACAAAATGATAAAAGGGTAAGTTTAAATTATCTAAATCTAACCTTCATAAATAAACCCAGTTAGATAATGGGTGGCAATGTAATGCAACACTCTTGCAGTTTTAACACTCTTTCAAAACATGCTAATTTTCTGTCTGTTTATGGGTGATAAGGAAAATAATAGCATTAAAATGAACATTTCTGGGGTGTCGGGGGAAAAAATGATTTTGCTAAATCTCACAAAAACTCCTCTCCCCTTGTCGTATCCATTTATGGGTTCTTTCTATGCAGCCATATGCTTCCAAGGTCAACCCCCTGATGATAAAGAAATATACATATCTTGAATAACTACTATGTGTTAAGTACTATGCCAGTACTTATTATTTCATTTAAACCTCCCAACAACCCAGGAAGAATTATTAATATTACTATATTAGAGTTAAGGACATTGAAAATTAAAACTGAGATTTGTCTGATTCCAAAGCCCATGCTACCTGATTTTCTAAAAACAAAAACAAAAATAATGCAGTATTGACCACCCTAAAAGTTATTTTCTCCACTAAACTAAAAAGTAATGACTCACAGCTGAGCGGAAAAACTTTTTTTCTTATTTCTGAATAAGCCTGTACAATACTACAGCATAAACTATTCATGTGCTGTTTCTATATTCTTTAAGCCAATGTACAGAATATGTATATGTGTATACATGCATAATATATAATATATATATAGTTTTAAAAGATTCATTCTAGAGTCTGATTCCAAAGCTCTTCTTTACCAAATTAAGGAAAACAAACTACCAATAGATTAGCCCAGAGGTATCAGTTCTTCTTATAAGAGGCTTATTTTTAGTTCTTCTTTCACTTTTCAGTGTATTTCCTAGCACTGTGTTCTATTCAGGCACATATTATGTGTTTGTCTCATCTGGTCTCCAGAATTTTGGTTTGGCAATATCTTCTGCTACCCATTACACTTTTGCTGTAATTATCTACAGTATATATTATGTTTCCAAAGAATATATAAATAACATTTCATTGGTTAAGTATAAAGACTGGAAATTTGAGGTTGAAGAAGTTCAATCATAGGATACTGTTTTAAGAAGTTCCAGCAAAATGTGCAACCTAACAATGTCAAGGATAACACAAAGAAAACTGACAGTGTGGTAGAACCGATTTAACTTGGCTTTGCTTTAATTCTTCCTTTAAAAGCGATTAGATGAAAACACAGCACTGAAGATCATACAATACTGGATATCCACAACACAAAATGAACTTTACATACACCTTGTACATATACAAAAATTAATTCAAAATGGATCATATGCCTAAATGTAAAACCTAAAATTGTAAGACTTTTAGAAAAAAACATATGAGAAAATATTTGTGACTTTTAGTTAGGCAAATATTTCTTAAAACCACAGAAGCACAGTCCATAAAATAAAAAGCTGACATATTGGACTTCATCAAAATTAAGAATTTCTGCCCTTTGAAAAACACTAATAAGGAAATTTAAATACAAGCAACAAATTGAGAAAAAATATTTATAAGTCATGTATTTGATAAAGGACTTGTATATAGAATATATAAAGAACTCGCAAAGCTTCCTGATTGCTGAACATGAGGAGGTGGCTAGAAGGTAGCCTACTTGGAGGGGTATGGAAGTTCCATACCCCTTCCACATAGCTTGCACTATGTATCTCTTCCATCGGAATATTCATAATATCCTTTGCTAATCATAATAAACCAGTAAACATAAACACTTGCTGGCTTTCATGAAGTAAGTTGCCATGTTGTGAGCTGCCATATCAAGAGGCCCATGTGGCAGGAACTGAGGGTAATCGCCAGCTAAGCAAATAACTGAGACCCTCAGTATGGCATCCCACAAGGAGCTGAATTCTACCAACAATCATGTGAACTTATGATTGGAACCTTCCCCAGTAAAACCCTGAGATGTGACTGCAGCCCTGGCCAAGACTGTGATTAAGATGAAACCCTGGAGTAGAAGACCCAGCAAATCTATGCCTGGACTTCTGACCCACAGAAACTGAGATAATAAATGTGTGTTGTTCTAAGCTGCTAAACAAAACAACACACACACATACACACATACACACAAAATCGTTAAAATGAAATCTTAATCATTAGAAAATAACCTAATAAAAAATGGGGAAAGATTTGAACAGACCTTTCACCAAAGATTTATGCATGGCAAATAAGTACATAAAAAGATGGTCAAAATTAATAGTCATTAGGGAAATGCAAATTAAAACCACAGTGAGATACCACTACACATCTCTACTAGAATAGCTAAAATTAAAAAGAAAGGCTGTATCAAGTGTTGCCAAGGATGTGGAGGCACTGGAACTCTTATTCCCACTGGTGGGAATATAAAATGGCACAACCACTTTGGAAAGTAGTTTAGCAGTTTCTCAAAAAAAGCTAAACATATGCCTACTGTATAACCCAGCCATTCCACTCCTAGGTATTTACGCAAGAGAAGTGAGTGCATATGTTCCTACAGAGACTTCGACACAAATATTCACGGTTGCTTTGTTTGTAGTAGCTAACAGTAGAGGGTGAATATATAAGTAAATTGTGCTTTATCCCTACACCAGAGTATTAGTAAAGAAATGAACTACTGATACAAGCAACAGCAGGATTAATCTCAAAATAATTCTGCTGGAAGGAAATATATATAATTATGATCCTTTTATATATAATTTTTAAAACTATAAACTAATTTGTAGTAACAGAAAAAAGATCAGTTGCCTGGTGACAGAACAAAGAGAGGGCAGGAAAAATTACAAAGGTTCGTGAGAAACAAAACTTTTGAGACTGATGGGCATGTTAATTATTTTGACTATGGTGACAATTTTACATATATAAGTATATACATATATATATACACACACATATCAAAATGTGGAGTTAAATATGTACAGTTTATTATATGTCAATTATACCTCAATAAAGCAGCTAAAAATTGAATCTTCACCTTAAAAGAACACACATGGCATTGCATGGCACATAAAATTTCATTATCAATTTTAATTTTGAAGCTATGTTAAATAATAAACCTTTGCTTCATATACCAGAGAATTAGATTCAAACCAGCCACTCAAGACAGCAATCTATACACAAGGATCTTATTGTTGTTTAAAGACAGTTTTCCAAGTGGTATAGTACCCTGATTGCTATAAAGCGCAGCTCCTCAGAAAGCAATAAGGACAGATATTCAAGATAGGCACTAAATGTTCAAATATTCCTGATTGTAGCAGCACAAAATTGAAGTTTATATATTTGGAAAATGATACACGACATGACAAATGAAAACAGAATGGTATTATTAAGTTACATCTACAAATTATTGTAAAATTTATAGCTACCAACAGCTGGAACTGAAGAAAGGTGTTAGGGAAGAGAAGAAGATGAGGAAAAAGAGGGATGATACTTTTCCTCACAGCATTTCAGAGTGTTAAAAAAAATTTCAAAGATGCTGGATGATGTGAGCAGAAATAAAAGGTGCTGTGTAAAGATGTAATAATACAGTGCGACTATCATACATTCTAGAATATTTTTATCCCCAGGCGCTAAGATGTAATAGCTTTAAGTAAGGTGTCTGCAGAGCAGGCAGGTCTTGGCTTAGCTGATTAGTCTCCATGAAGACCTCCCAGCACAGGACAGCCCCTCCGAGATTGGTTAATGTGTGCTCTTACGACAACCTATATTTACGTTTTCATCACAACCATCGTACCATATTGTAATTAACTATATGTCTTTCATTCTCTAAATTATAAACTGCCTGAGTAGAGAGGCTGTGTCTTATTAACCAGCTGTAACTCTATACCTGGTATTTGGTTGCAGAGATTTGACTTTAAAGCATACTGCATATTGGCACTCCACTAAGGCCTCACAATCCAAATATCTCTGACTAGCCCACTGGCCAAGACAACTACTTCATACTTGTGCCTCTCTGCTTAAATTTCCTATACCTCCTCCAGTATCCTCACTTTCAGCTGATGATATCAGTTGAGATGTCCTTCACTGGGAAAACAGAAACTGCTAGAAATGTCTTCTCTTTATCTTCCTGGAACCTAAGGTCCTATCTATGACTCGTCTTGCCTCTACCATAATGTCCTGCCTTATTAGCAAAGGGCCATCCTTCCACGTGTTATCTGAATTCCACCCTTTTGCTCCTTCTCAAGGACTTCACTTCTTTTTCAACATTGCTTTCTTCCTATCTATGGGTTCATTCCTTTAAAATATATATTGATATCTAGAGTTTAAAAAACAAGACAAAACCCTACCTTTTCTCTATTTTCTTTTATAGGCAAAAATTTTAAAATAGTTATGCTATTCTCACTTCCTTACTACTTAATCCATCCTTAACTTTTACTTTCATGTCATCACTAAAGGGCTCTTGTCAAGTATATCGGTGACTTTCACATTGACATATGCAGTGAAAATTAATCCTTCATCTTATCTAATGTCTCAGCAGTATTCAAGAATAAACCACTTCTTCCCTCTTCGAAAGTCTCTTCTCTTAGTTTTCTCCCTATCTGCTGACTGCTCCTATTTAGTCTCCTTTGCTGCTCTCATCCTTCTCCAATTCAAAATATAATTTGGTCCTGAACCCCTCCTCTATCCATATGCTCTCTTCCTTGATGATTCCAGTATTCCCATGTAAATCCATGGGATAATGTGTACAAGCTGGCCAGGCACAATGGCTTATGCCTGTTATCACACCACTTTGGGAGGCTGAGGCAGGTGGATCACTTGAGGTCGGGAGTTCAAGACCAGCCTAGCCAACATGGTGAAACCCTATCTCTACTAAAAAATACAAAAATTAGCCAGGTGTGGTGGCACATGCTTGTAATCCCAGCTTCTAAGGAGGCTGAGGTGGGAGGATCATTTGAACCCAGGAGGCAGAGGCTGCAGTTAGCTGAGATCACACCACTGTACTCTAGCCTGGGAGATGGAGTGAGACCCTGTCTATAAATAAATAAATAAATAAATGTGTATCAGCTGACAATTCTTAATTCTTTTTCTTGGCTCAGATCTATCCTCTCCTGAGTCCCAGATTCAGAGCCAATTGCAAACATTTCCTTGAATGTCTCACAGACATTTCAAATTTAAATGTGTCCAAAAATAACTCTCCACATTTATACCAAACATATTACCTTGCCCGCCCCGAAATATTTTTATTTTAGTAAATTACTAAGTCCTTTCTACCTAGTAATTCAAGACAGAAATCTGAACACATCTAATATATTCCCACCAAATCTAGCTACAAAATGCATTTGGAATCCATTGATCACTTTGCTGCCATCATCATTTTGCCAGAGCTACTGAAAGAGACTTCTAATTGTTATCTCTGCTCTCTCTGCTTCTACTGTTAATAGCTCTTTTTCTAATGCATTGTCCACATAGCACTGAACATCCTTCTACGAACTAAATCATTCATGTTATTCTGCTGCTTAAATCCCTTCGCTGGCCCTCAGAATAAAACCCAAACTATTTCCTATAGCTCCTAAGGCCTTGTGGATCTAGCCCCTTCCAATCTCCCAAACCTCATTTTCATTACTCACCCCCCATCCCATTCACTACTCCTGTCACGTTGGTTTTCTTTCAGTGCCTCAAATAAAGCTCTTTCCTGCCTTACTTAACTGCCTTTATATGCTCTTTCCTCTGCCTGGAATCCTTGGATTCACCCCATGTTTGAGATATCAGCTAGATGTTGCTGTCTGAGGACAGCAACCTTGTTATTCTCTGAGCCACTATGTGTTTTCATCATAATACTTATTATCTGTCAATTGTTTTGCTAATTTATCTGTTTAGCACCAACTAAACTATAAGCTCCCTGAGCACAGAGGCTGTGTATTATTTATCATTGGAACCCATCCTCCTTGCATATCCTCAGAATACTCAGTAGGTACTTCCTGTAAAACTATTTTCTGAGTTCATGAAAAACTAAACCTTAAGAGAAACAAGCCTCCTATGATCTAGTAGTAGAAAAATGAAGAAAGTTATGAAAACACATTATTATGGAGTTTAGTTATATGGACTCCACTACTAAAACTTCCATGTAAATACAACAAAGAAGAATGTATACTTTGTTTTGTTTTATAATAGTATTATTAAATTTTTTTGGAAAAGTTTCTAAATTTTTTATTTTATCTAAAACTTCTTGTATTTTAATATTCCATAGGAAAATCTATTACATATTTTTTTCTTATATTTAAGAATGAATTGTTGGCTTAAAAGATAGGAGATTAGAAAACTTGCCTCCTTAACCCACAACTACATTGTCTACATATAAGATACAGAAAAAGATAAATCTGATACATTTGAGAATTTTATGACTCATGGAAAGGTGGAATCCAGCAAAGAAACTAGTCAAAATTGTTAATAAAAAATGACCATATGTTGAAAGCCATCTTTCTCTTGTTTCAGAGGTATTAACAATCTACCTTCTTGTCTATTTTGCAACAAAAGTATCTTTCAAATACTATAATGGTGCCAATTAAGTTGTGATGTCATTCTGCGACCAATCATGTAGAGTTCAAAGAAAAAGGAACTGGATATTTTAAACGTAGATATGATGAATCCTCTAAAAGAAAAATTCCATTACAGCTTTTCATACTGGAAATGAAAAGACCACAGAAGTATTCTACATTGTAAGTTATTAATATGACACATTGACTGAAAAAGTGCATATAATAGCTGAGAGACTAATAAAATTGTGGATAATCAACCTGGCTCAATGCCTGCTGAAAATCAGTATAAGAAATCATGGCACTTTCCAGCCATGTGGTAACTCATCAAATTAGACTTAGCTGCAAATATGAAGGCTGAGTTAATATCTTAATTACAGAATTGTGCTTTTGTTTCACAAGTAGAAGAATCTATAGATTTTATGTTTTGCTTATATTCATTCAGTATGAGCCCCAAGCAATCAACAACAAAGACCCTTTATTTTCTCTTTTTCCCTGAGACGGAGTATCGTTGTGTCACCTAGGCTAGAGTGCTGTCGCGTCAAGTTAATGCAACTTCCGCCTCCCGGGTTGAAGCAATTTTCCCTGCCTCAGCCTCCCAAGTAGCTGGGATTACAGGTGCCTGCCACCACACCTGTCTAATTTTTGTATTTTTTAGTAGAGACGGGGTTTCGCCATATTGGCCAGGCTGGTCTTGAACTCCTAACCTCAGATGCTCTACCTGCCTCAACCTCCCAAAGTGCTGAGATTACAGGTGTGAGCCACTGTGCCCAGCCAACAAAGACCTTTTATAGGAAAGCTTGGCAACAAACACTAACAGTACTGAAATATTCAGTGTTGAATAACTTTCTTAAATCTCATCATTTATCTTGAATAACTGTGTTGATATTTACACTGATGATGCAAAAGCAATGATGGTGCCTTAGCATGAATTAAGACAGCACCATACTGTACTACATAGTTCATCATATTACTGCCCCATGTTCGTATACATGCACGTACCATACAGTCAATTTAGCTGAGGGAAGTCTTTGACGAAGCAATAGAAGTTATTAATTATATGAAATCTTGACCCTTGAATAGATGTCTTTTTAATATTCTGTATGACAAAATGGGAAATACACATAAAGCATTTCTGTCGTATATCAAAGTACAACTGCTGTCTAGAGGAAAATCACTTGTGTAATTGAGCTGTGAGCTATCCTAGCTACTTTCTTCATGGAACACCATTTTTACTTGAAAGACTGACTGACTGATAAACTACAGTTGTTCAGCCTTGGATAGATATGTTCTTGAAAATGAATTAAGTGAATCTACCACTTCAAAGAAAAGTGACATATGTATGACAATGATAAAATTTGAATCTTCAAATGAAAACTAGAATTTTGGAAAACCTGAATCTGCTACCATGAACTCCTCACAATATTTAAAGACCTTTCTGATAAGATTTGTGTTAACACTAAAGAATGTGATGTTTTAATATATAATAAAATGTGTCAACATTTGGAAGATCTGTATAACTCAATGAACCAGTATTTTCAAACGACCAATGTATGATGTTACAAAACCTTGCATAGGTAAAAGATCCATTCAAAGTGCAAGATAAACCAATGGACTTTAATTTCAGAGTACTAAAATTTCACAGATTTGGTTTCCATTGTTGCAACTAACCTTTAAGAAACTACCTCTTGTTGCATTTTGGTGTCGCATCAAAGAATACCCACAATTATCTGAAAGTGTTTTAAAATATTCCTTTCTTTCCAACTACATCTCTGTGTGAGGCTGGATTTTCTTCATATATTTTGACCAAAAAGAACAGACATTAGAATCTAGCTGGCTTCTATTAAGCCAGTTATTAAAGAGATTTTTCTTAATGCTAAAAAAAAAATGCTACTCTTCTCATTGTTTCTTTGATTTGAAAACCAAAAAGTTTGCGACCCACTGATTTAAGGATTTCCACTTTATTACTCAGATTGGTTTTGGACCTGATGGCAAAATAGGAGCCTGAAAGGTTAGGGTCAAATGTCCAGAAAACAAGAGGATGGATACATAGACGGACATGCATACATATCTACATACATCACAAAATGTCTCCCTACATGGCTGTGACTCAGATTATCCTCATTCCAAAGTCAAAGAAAAATTATTATTTTTACTATATATCATTCCCTCTAGTTCACATTGCTAGTGCCTCCACTAGAATATTCAAAAGCTGCTAATTCAAAAGCACATTTTGGAGGGGGATAATTCAACTAACCTTTCCAAGGAACTTCAAAATAAGTATGTGACATTGACCCTCAGTAATAAAAGTTATGGAATTAGAAAAGAAATAGCTGTAAAATGTAAACTGAGTAACAGTTTACATGTAACTATTAACTGTTACAGGTAAATTGTCTCTTCTGTATATTTTAGGTTAATTTTTCAAGATTTTAAGGCATATGATAATTGTTTATGACTCCAAATAAATCATTTAAAAGATATTCTATGTTGACAAGCTTATCTTAAATTCATTTCATACATGAAATAAGCACTATGCAGGGGATAATCATCCTTCTAGGACATCACAGACACATTACAGACAGGCATCTTATAGATAAAGAGCTTATTCAGTCTGGGGCTTATTCACTCCAGAGGTTAAAATGATAGCACAATCTGTTTAGCACCCTTAATGAAAATAATCTTTTCTGTCCACGTGTTACCAAGATCAGTGTTTCAACTTTGAAACACAGAGAAATTCTTACTGGGTATATAGTTTCCCTCATGCAAAATGGCACTTAGCCTTTTAAAAATGCATTTGAATTCACTCATTTTCAAAGACTGATTTCCAGACTTAACACGAGACACAGATGGCCCTGATAACAATACTCATAACTGGCCTATCACAAATTCTTTATCACATTACAGTGACTATATAAACTAATTTAGAATACAGTGACAAACTGATGGACTTGGTATCTAGTTCATTAGTTCATTTATTCATTCAATGTTTATTGAATACTTGCTACATACCTGATACACCATGTATTGGGAACAGTCATGGCTAACACAGAGAGGGTTCTTACCCTCAGAGTGCTTATAGTCTGGCAGGGGAAACAGACATTAAACAATCACATAATTCTTATTTAGTTAGATACTATACTCCTACTCTCAGCCAATCATCCATCTTGCAGGCTTTCAGTGCGATGCCCATATTATGAACTGGATAACTCCTCAAAGCCTACCCATAATGAGATCTTGATAGAAGATTAGCAGCAATGTGTTGAAGTAAGTATCACACAATTATTAGCCTTAAGATTTTTCAGGAA